TTGTTTTCCTGCTGGTGGCAGTTTTCTCCGATGATCAGCAAAAAATACAAATCTGGGCAATTTTCACACTTAGGGATCTCTGTTGTGTAGCCAGTCACTCACTGAAAGAACCAGGCATTCATACTCCTCACTAATGATTAGTTTCCACCTCAGATATTCTGTTCAATTCTCCCCACATTGCAGACTGTGTGCCCTTAGCTTCTCTCCAGAAATAGAGTCATGCCACTTTTGGCATGCTTGTGATATTCAAAACAATCCTAACAAATTGCAAAATAGGCCAAACTATGCTTTGGACACCCTTCCCACTAATGTTCACCATTCTTCCTTCTCTTGGTCTTTTCCAAAAATCCATTTTATCTGTCACTAATTCAAGTAACTAGCTTTTTGGTGTCTACTGTGAGCATTGCAGGATCATTCTGTATCTCATTTATCTTCTTAACAAATGTATAATCTCCATTTCACAAATGCATTAAACTTCTTACAATTTCAAAAAACAAGGTGGAAAGCACTTTGAAAATGGTAATGACAGGAAGACAGTGCAACTGAGTGAAATTAATTTCACCTTGTGGGGAGCGACGGTAAACGGTTAAAGACATTTTTAGCAGGTAACTACTTTAAAAATGAGAGTCAGATATTACAAATTTTCAATAGAGAGGGAATTAATGTTTGTAAACCTGACTGTCAACATCTACTTAACTCATCTTCCTCTTCTACCACACTCTGCCCTGGAGCTTCAAGTTTCAGAAAATAATACGGAGAGGGACTGCCTTTCTCAAGGCAGAAGCCTTACCCAGCCCCAATTATCAAAGTCACGCCCATCAATTAAAGGCTAAAGCTAAATGAAAACAGGACAGTCCCAGAAAGGCTGCAGACCTGGGCTTCAAAGCTATCTACCAACCAGACACCGTGGGCACAGCATCAAAGCAAAGAACAAGACCAGTTTGGTTTTGTTCTTTTAAGAGTAAGATCAACATTAGAGAATGCTCATTTCACAGAGATTTTACTAACTTCATTCAATCACAAGGCAGCTTCACAAATGCATGCCATCAATATAGACAGAATTCAAATCTGAAATTCTTAAAACACACTATCTTTGTGTACAATATTATTGTTTGGCAGGTTTTTAAACTATATAAATGGTAATTATACTGTATATTTATCCATCAGCAATTTTTTTTAACTCAACTTTACATTTTTAAGATTTAGTCATGATGACATACACAGCTAATCTCCTGTTGATGAGCCCTTCCTATTGGTCACTAACACAAAAACAGGATTATAACTAAATATCTACTTTGATAACCAACTTTTTTCCAGTTGGTTCAATAACCAATTCTCGAAATATGGAAGAATCTATAGCTTACGAGCTTTGAAATCATTAGAGAGCTGGGTTCTACTCCTGGGACCAGCTCTGTGTTGTTGCGGTCAATTGTTTAAATCTCCCTATATTTTAGTTACCTCATTTATAAAATAGTTAATAAAAAATATTTACAGTTGAAAGGACTAAATAAGATATAAAGCAGCCTGGCACACAGTGAACATTCAATAAACGGTAGCTACTATTATCATTAATAACTCTTTTCAATCAAAATTATTTAAGATATTTGGGGGCTTCAAAAGAGCTAATAATTATTTTAGCAGAGATTTTTCCTTTGTAATCAATAGTGGTTGCTTCTCAAAAGACTGAACAACAAAAAATTTCACCAAGTGCAATGAATACAAGGGAGGTGGGAGTGGGGAGGCCTATAGCTGGGAGTTTAAAAAAAAACAATTAGTTTATAAATAGAAATGTAAGGTCTTCAGTAAACCAAACCCTCTTAAGGATAAACATACACTGAATCCTAACCCAGTGCTATTCAATAGAAATAAAATGTGAGCCACATATGTAATTTAAAATGTTTCTAGTAGCCACATGAAAAGTAAAAAGAAACAAGTAAAATTAATTTTAATAATATATTGTAATTATCCTTATATAAACTAGCATTTCAATATGTAAGTAATATAAAATATAACAAGGTATTTAGGTTTTTAAACTAAATCTTCAAAATTTGATGTGTGTTTACATTTACAGCACATCTCAATCCCAACTAGCCCTATTTCAAATGCCTAGTCACAGGGGCAACTCGCTAACCACGTTGACAGTGCAGTTTTAACCTAGGCCTTTTCAGAAAGAGCCCTGTACAGTGTTTTTAGCAAAGACTTCTGTTTATCAGCTAATGCAGCCTCTATGCCTTTTATCAAAGTAACTATCAGTATAAGACCATTCCCAAATCTGAGTTCTTCCCAGTAAAAACAGCAAAGCTCCTTAGTTTTATCAAAATTAAACATCTCAGTGAACAAGCAAAAAGTGGACGAAGAGTGGCTTACAGTTTACAAGACTCATCCTTGAACATTATTTCATTTCAACTTCCCCAAAGTCAGTGAGGTAGATCATTTACAAATGGGAAAACAGAAGCAGAGTCAAGTGACTTGCCAAGAGTTACACAGTAGGTGGACCTAATCCCATGTCTCCAAACTCCTCAGGCTACACAGTTGTACAAATGCAAAAAATAGGCAGGCTTTCCATCTTCTCTCTCCATTTGCACCAGAACCTAGAATGAATACTTTGAAAAAAGGCATCCAAGTCTACTAAAAAACATCAGAGTACGGGGAAAAAATACAGAGCAATGGTCAAGCGATCCCAAAAATTAAGGTGGAATAGTTCTGTTTCTCAAAATTTTACTCTACTACCAAGGTGAGCAAAATCTTAAGTAAACAAATTAAAGCCCACTTGAGTTTCCCCAAACTAATGTATTTTTGTTAAAGTTTAACAAAGCAAGGAAATTCTGACTGCTTGGTTGTTTAGTTTAAGGATAATTATTAAGTGCTTTTAAATAAAAATGCAATTACAAGGATTACTGAATGCTGAGCCTCTGTCTCAATCACAAGCTTCTAAAAGTGAACTCATCATGGGAAAATATACAGGTTTTTCTTTTTAAGAATACTAACTGAAAGGCAAGATACCATAATTTTATTAGTGATTATTTTCAATGGTAGGTGAGTCTGGGTGTGCTTTTAGTTCCTTTTCTGGAAATTCCAATTTTTCTACAATGAATATGTTAGTTTTACAGTTATAAAAAATATGAATACATGACTTGAACCAATTAAAGCATCTTTAAACACAAATGAGGGATTAATACAATTTACCTTTAACCTTAAACACAACTATTATGGTTCACCAAGCTCACCTTATGTGACCGTTAATAGAACCTCAATTAGCAAAGGGCAAATGTCTTCAGAACTCAGTTTACAAATTCCTTCTGTAAAGTACCTTCCAGCTCCATTATTTAATAACTTTCTAATGATTTGAAATTTTGAACTCTCCTTATAAAGGTTGTTAGGGGCCTAGAAACGTCAAGCTCATTTTAGCTAAAAGCCCCGACCTCACCTTTTTCTGATGCTGCAAAATGAACCAATTTGAGTTTTTACCTCCATTCCTCCCTAGCTTTACTCTTAAAAAGTTATGCACAAATGAACTGGCAACCAATAGGAGCTTAGACGGCCTAGAAGTAGTATTACCATACTCGGCGTAACAGATTTTTCTTCTAGGTCTGCAGAAGGCTTCTTCGTTCTTTTAAAAAACACTTGTTTATTGCACACCTACCCATGGCCAGACTCTCAATGCAGTTGAGAAGCAGCCTAGGGAAATAAGGTCCTTAAAGGCCACCCTCTCAATAGCGCAAACCAGTAAACAACTAATTCGAATCCAAAGTGATAAGAGCCATCTGGAGATAATGTCAAACTGCCAAGAGAACACTCCAGGGGGAGATTAATTAGGGCCTGCTAGGTGTCCCAGGAGGGCTGAGGCGCTTTGGAGGCGGTGGGGGGAAAGGATTTGAAAACGCTTTCCTGAGCTTGACATAAAGCAGGAATCCAGCCATTTCCCCAAAGCCTGGAGCCAGAGCACTCTCCGCCTGGTCGTCCCCATCTATAAAGTGAGGCTAGAAGAGCCCAGGCCTGATATTCGGCCTGGGAACTCGTCTACGTGACCACCAGGCTCCCAGATGGGATTGGGGCCAAGTGGCCCCTCAGCTGGGATCTGAGTACCCCCTCCTCCGGGACCCCGAACAGGCCACCACCTGGTCACTCCTTTCACCGTCACCAGTTGAGGAAAGACTCCGCCCAGCTCTGGGGGCGAAGCACAGGCACCCACTTGGGTGCAAAGTTTGATCCCGGCCACTCCCGGTACAGACCCGGGCCGAGATTTGAGTGCCGCCAGGCCCTGCCGGGGAGGGGCGGCTCCGTGGCCCGCGGCCTCCGGCAAGCCCTGCACCGAGGGGCGGGGACCACGGTGGAGTCACCGGGCCCGACGCAGACGAACGGCGCCCCGCACCCTCCGCGGGCCCGGCCGAGCGCCCGGCGGCGTCCTAGGTCTCCCGTGCCCACTCCTTCCGGAGGGCGGGCGGAGAGCGCGCCAGGGCAGCGGCGGAGGCTCTGGACGCGGGGCGAGGGGTCCCCGCCGCGCAGCGCACGCCCGCACGCCCGGCCCCCTGCTTTACCTGGTCCGGCGGCGGCGCCGGTGGGAGCCCCGAGCGGGGGAGCGTACTCGGCGTCAGCCCTCCCTCACCTGGGCGGAAATGAGAGGCCCAGGAGGACCGCGCCTCACCTGGCAGGCCCTCCCCTCCCTCCTACCCTCTCCGGCGGGGCGGGGCGCCGAGGTGGCACGGGAGGGGCGGGCGGGGGAGCCTGGGGCCGCGGGAGGCCGACTCTGCGGGGGGAACGCGGGGGCGGTGGGCTTTCTACATTCTGCAGGTAAAGTTCTACTGGGCGAGGGAGGGTTAAAGAGGAAGAAAAAGGTGGGATCTGAGGGCCAAATAGGCAGACGAAAAGCCAAGTGGTGGGGAGATCCGGCTGGACAGGTGTAGGATGGCTGGGTTTAGAGGAGACCTGAAATCATGGAAATTGAAGGAGGACACTGATGAAAGGATTTCGTCAAATCTGCTTGGTCCCTTTTTGTCCCTTACCTTTCCCGTTCTGTCATCCCTCCTTGTGTCGTCTTCGTCCGCTGACCCCACATTAAATTCTAAGTATAACTGGGGGTTATTTTTTGCTCATTTAGTTGAGGAAAGGAAAGAAACCAATCTAGCAGTATTTGCCTGCGATATGCCGGGCGCTAGCTTATATACATTACCTCATTTGCCCTGTGAAAAAAACGATGAAGAAGCTGCGCACCTAAGGGTTAAGTAATTTGCCCAAAATTTGGGACCCAGATGGGATCTTCTGAGTATAAGTCCAGTGTTGACTTCCCTATATGTTTTAACATTTTTGATATCATAACTTGACTTTGAGAAAGATTGTGTAGAACTTACAACAGCTTTATTAGACTCTAATGTAACTAACTAGAATTTTGATGATAGGCGTTTTATTTTGTCTAATATAGTCCACACATTAACGGTAAACAGAATCAATCTTCAGGTCTGTGTTCATTAAACATAGTATTTGTTAAGCACTGTGATTGACTTTGTAAAATGTTAAACATGGAGGATACCTGTCCTCAAGGAAGATGGTATGTACAAGACAGCTGAAATGTAAGGACATCTGTTGTAAGATCATTCACTTGACACCTCTTAGTGTTATCGTTAGTTGTTTTTTTGTTTGCTTGTTTTTAAGAAATGATCACTTGTTAGGCCTGGTAAAAGGATACACAGGATACAAAATTTCAGCATGGTCTCTGCCTCTTAAGAATGAACAAACTATTGAAGGAAATAAACTTATACAACAACTTAAATTACCAAATATGTATAATGAAGCCAGAACTTTCAGAAAATAAAGAGATGTATTATGCTTGCTGAAAGCATCTCTTAGGATTTAAACAGGTCTAATAGGTGTTTGGGATTTGCTTAAGGTAAAATGGAGAAGGAAATGCTTCCTAAATTGGGGTGGGGGGAGGGGCAGCATACAGCTGGAGACCAATTATCTCAGCATCACCTTGCAAACATAAAGTAAGGTCTCTTCTTACTCTAATATTTGATGATGGTCATGAACATATTCCCCCTTTCTCAAAAAATAATGTGACTTTGGGGAATTCCCTGGTGGTCCAGTGGCGCTTTCACTGCAGTGGCCTAGTTTGATCCCTGGTTGGGGAACTAAGATCCCACAGGCTAAGTGGCTTGGGCAAAAATAATAACAACAAGAACAATGTGACTTTTAATTGACTGTGAAACAAAGTTCAAACTCCTTTTCTTAGTATCCAAGGCCCTCTAAACTCTCTCCTTGCTGCCTCTTCAACCTACTCTTCCATTTCACTCTCCAAGATCTGACGCTGGCCAAATGGTCTGGTCTACTCTATGCCCTTGGGATGACCACACCAGGACTTTTCCGTTGGTTACTCATCCCCTTTTCCACGCTTGGAATGTCCTATGAGCCCTACCCTTCCCCCAGGGCCTCAATGATCATTCCCAGAAAACATCCATCTCCACCACATTTAATGCCATTTTCTCCATATTTTAGTATGGTTATTTTAATTTCTGCTTTCCTCTGGCTCTTACCTGGAATTTTAAAAAATGTTTGACTGATTCAGTACATTTTTTAAGGCACATACTCTGTGGTAAACATTTTCTGGCACAGAGTTTTTTTTGTTTTTTTGTTTTTTCAACCTCTGAGAACCCTCAAGAATATTTTATTCACAGAATGATGAAGATGAACACAGTTTTTAAGAACACGTCTCTGAAGTCAGAAGATCTGAGCTTGAATCCTAATTCCACCATTTCTTAAAATATACGACTTTGACAAGTTATTTAAACCTTCTAACTCCCATTAGTGAAATTTCAGTGCCAGTACTTACAATACTTCATATGGTAGTTTTTAAGGTTAAATGAAGAAATTACATGTATTGCATATACCTGGCACATAGAAAGTACTGAATAAATGAAGCAGCACATAGATGGGCATGAACATGACAGATACTTGTGACAGCAAAGAGAAAGCCAAGAGTAGTCGTAAATAAAGTGAAGCCAGAGCAGATGGTGGAGGACCTGAAAATACTACGGAGAACTTTAGGTTATAAGACTTTATCCTTCATCTCTAAGAAATTAAAGAGCCACTGAAAATTTCTGAATAAGATTTTTATTTTTTGCTTTTTAAAAAGACATTTAATGATTGGTGTTTATTTTTAAAAATGCTTGATTTCTTTAGAGCAGTTTTAGGGTCTATATTGAACAGAAGTTACAGGTTTCCTATGTACCCCCTTCTCCCACATATTCATAGCCCACCTCTTTACCAACATCCCCCACCAGAGTGGTACGTGTCTTACAACTAATGAACCTATATTGACACATAATCACCCAAAGTCCATGGTTTACATTATGGTTCACTCTTGGTGTTGTACATTCTATGGGTTTGGATAAATGTATAATGACATGTATTCACCATTATAGTAACATGCAGAATACTTTCACTGCCCTAAAAATCCTCTGTGCTCTGCCTATGCATCCCCCTGCTGCTGCCCTCCCTCCCCAACTCCTGGCAACAACTTATTTTTTGTTAACTCCATATTTTCATCTTTTCCAGAAGGTCAGATAGTTGGAATCATACAGTATGTAGCTTTTTCAGATTGGCTTTTTAGTAAGATGCATTTAAGTTTCCACCATGTCTTCTCACGGTTTAAGAGCTCAATTCTTTTAGCACTGAATAATATTCCATTTTCTGGATGTACCACAGATTACTTATCTGTTCACCTAATGAAAGACATCTTATGCTTCCCAGTCTGGTCAATTATGAATAAAGCTGTTATGACCATGTGTGCAGGTTTTATCTGGACAAACATTTTCAACTCCTTTGGGTAAAATACAAGGAGCTTATAGGATTTTGAATAAGATTTTGAATATGATATAGGTTTTATGTTTTCCTAAATGAAAGGTTAATCTGGAAGCAGTGTGAAAAATAGATTGACAAAGTTGGGGAGAAGGCCTAGAATCAGAAAGAGGAAGTAAGAAGTTGCTATAGCAAGGTACCTAGGAAATGACGTATACCTGAAATAGGGTGAAAATATAGGATTTTAAAAATGAGCACTTAAAAATATCAGTTGCTTACTGATTAGAAAAAGGGATAAAGAAGAACAAGGAGAAAACTGAAGTGCAAAGATGATTCTAAGCTCTGAAACTGATAAAATGGATGTTGGTGTTGAAACTTAGAAAAGCTAATTTATTCTGTTTTGTTTTTTTGAGAAGTAGGACTCTGATAAAGTCAGTTTTAGATCCTACATTTGACATTCACGATGAAATATACTTGGCATAGAATAGACCTTATTAAGTGATGAGTCAATTGAATTGGATGGCAGTTAGACTGGTGCACCAAAGAGAGGACACAGAAATACCTGAGAGACAGCATGGATGTAGAAAAATTCCCAATGTGCAGAAGACTATAATAAAGATTTACCAGGACCTGATACTATGAATTTACCACCAGAGGAAAAAAAATGCCCATCTCAAATAAAAAAGAAATTTGGGGAGAGTAACCATCTTTTATCTCTTAATGATTCTGTTCTAATCATGGAAACAGGGATCAGGTTGCTCAGGACAAAACTATCTATTAATGTAATTAGGTGTATACTAGAATTTTAGGAATGAAAAGATCCAATGTTCAGAGCCTTTGAATCCCAGAGGAAGCTTTGCTTCAGGCTTCACTGGCAAACCTCTTTCTAATGTTTCTACATAGCAATTTCCGTATTGGGCTGTGCTATTCATATCCTTTACTTTCTATAGAATTTCCATAGAATCCTATAGAATTTTTATGAGACAAAGAAACTTTGCATTGAAAACATGCCTAAGATTGAGATTTAACGTTCTTACTAAAATTAGACAATGTAGTATCTTGTTATCAGAGACTATACTTGCAAAGTTATAAAGTAATATATTTTACTGAGCCATGAGAAAATAGATTAAGGGGCAGTAAGAAGAGAAAGTGAACCAGAATCACTTCAAGAGTCAAATATTTTGTATTTCTTTACTTTCACGGGAAGACTCTTGTTCTTTTCAGTTTATACATTGTAGGAGAGAACAAAGATAATCAGTAGAACCATAAAAACAGATTTTGTAGTGCGATTAATCAGCAAAGCACAAGCATTTTCAAATAGTTAATTGTTCAAAATCTATATGAAAAATGACACAAATATCAGCAATATTCCTGCAGTCAGCAGGAAAATACCTAATTTTGTCATAATTTCAATAAACTCAAACTAGAAAGTTGCTTCCTTTCACCTTCTGATTTCCTTTAGATTGTATTTTGAAAATCAAACCAGAACTTTTTGAAAGTGCCAAAATGGTAGTCAAAATGCAAAGTCACTATCTTTTATCACCAGATACTACATGTAACAGATATTCCAATCCTTATCCCTGGATTTTACCTAATCCTTGGCCCCAACCCCTTTCCTAAATTTCATCTCAGGATGAGGATGAGGGATGGTGTTGAGCTGTATGTTATACATATTATTGGTAATTTTTAAAACTCAAAGTTAATGGTTAATTTTCTAGGTTGTACATTTTTAGGTGGTCATGCATCCTATGAAGAACCAACTCTGTTCCTCCAGTTTGGCCTGGATTTTGAATTATTTTGATGTCAGTGACAAAATACTGTGTTCCAAATACTGTTTGGGGGATTATCTTATCAAAACCCTTGTCCTACTACAGCAATTAATGCATGCTTCTATTGTGACAATTACCAAGCAGTATTTTAACAGTTTGTCTTTTCCCCCAGCAAACACAAAGTGTTTAACTACTGGGTTCTTGCCTCTTTATTTTTTGAGGCTGTAGGGTCTCATCTTATGCTGGGTACAAAGTAAATGCTTGATAAATATATTTATGGAGGGGAAGGCGGGAAAGAGAGAGAAAAGAAAAGGAAGGAAAGGAGGGAGGAAGGAAGGAAAGAAGGAAGGAAAGGAGGGCGGGAGAGGGAGGAAGGGAGGGAGGAGAAAGGGGAAAAAAGGAGAGAAGGTGCAAGTCCAATTAAAACGGGAAGTTTAAAAATTGAACTAGTAAATTTCAAATTTCTTATCACTTAAGTCTTTAAGCGTAAATGTTTTAATTTTAAAATAGCATACTAATGCTGCAAAATTGGTTTAAGAAAAATTTTAAATGTAGTTACAATACTAAGATATTATTGCAAATAGTTTCATGTCTTCTCATTCAAAAATGATACATCTTGTAATACATTATCTCAGGGTTGTCAAAGTGTGGTCTCTGGACCAGCAATATATCAGCATCACTTGGCAATTCATTAGAAACGAAAATTATCCTGCCCTATCTTAGATCTTTAGAATCAGAACCTGAGGCTCAACCATCTGAGTTTCAACAAATACTACAGGTGGTACTGATGCTCCCTAAAGTTTGAGAACCACTGCACAGCACAATGGTTCAAAATTAGTCCTACTGTGGATGAAGAGGCACCACTCAAACTCAAATATTTTTACGTTAGAGAAAAACAACTAAAATTTCACTAAAAAATAGTACACATTTAAAAGATACCCCCATTACTTTAGAATACATAGAAATTTAGAAAGAAAAGATGGAGGAAAAACCCTCCAACCTTTCACTTAGTTTAGTCGCAAACTCTTTGGTCTCCTCTTGTTTTAGGCCCTTTCCTTCATCTAAATTTTCACTGTTAAAAATAAAGGTGTAAAAATGAATGAATTAAAAAAATATATATATAATTTTTTAAAAGAAAAAAATTAGAAGAAAAAAGGTGTAATGCTTATTTTTGTGATACAGTCCTCAAGATCAATTTGTACCAGCCTTCCAAAAAGTTCTTCTCTAAGACAAGGAGGCCATCATATCATAGTAAGAGCACAGTTTCTGAAATCGGGCAAACATCAATTCTATTCCAACTCAGTAACTAAGGCCAACACGTTCTTTAGCGTCTTTGAGTCTGGTTCGTTTTCTGTAAACCCAAATCCTACCAGACTAACAGAGATAATGTTTGTAAAGGGTTTATCGAATTGCCGGGCGCCGCTGGCACTTTTGCTGATGGAAAAGCCACAGCAGGATTAGCTTGGGAGGAAGCTGTGGACGGAGGTCAGCTGATTCTCCAAGCGAGCTGCCTGCTTCTGATTTTCAAAGACCAATCGAAGCTCTCCCAGGTGATTCCGCAGGCCTAGAGGGATGACCTGCCTCCAACGGATGCACGGTCCCTTTAAGAGCCTCACTCCCGCCGCCGCCAGACTCCCAGCTTCGCCTAGGCGAAGGCGGAACCGGAAGTTATGGGGGATACGCCGGTCCCCAGCATGGCGGCTTCTCGGCCCTCTGGGCCGGTTGCTTCTGAGACTGCTGCTGCTCGGCTCCTGGCTGTACTGTGGGTCGTGTCAGTAACCACGGGACCTTGGGGAGCTGCCGCCGGCGGTGGCGAAGAGTCACTTAAGTGCGAGGACCTCAGAGTGGGACAATATCCTCTGCCCCCCCCCCCCCGCATGGGGCGAGGTAGATTCGGGGTCGAGAGTGGGTCGCGGCTCTCAACACGGGCTAAGGTTTTACTGAAGGGAAAGGTGACCTGTGTCCTTTAATGACCGAGGGACCCCAGGCGGTGAAGAGAGATGTGGGGCTGGGACGGACAGAGGCTATCCTGTGTGATTTCCTTGGGATTTTACTGATCGTTGACGCTTCCTCTTGTGATCCCCCTTTCTTTTTTAAAAATTCAGTTTTTTAACCGGTGGGTTTATTTGTTCAAACACATTGATACTGAAGTATGTTAGGCCATGTTTGTAAGCATTGGAATTAAGTTAAAAGGTTGATGGACCCTACCCTGGAAATTTGCCGACTTCGGGGAAGACAAGTACAGTAATTAATAACGATATAGCCAATGTATGTTGCCCATTTATTGTTAACTTTACATTTATTACCTTATACTATCTCGACCTACATGAGATCCCAGACTGCAAGGGGGCAAATTCCTGCTCCACTTTGTAACCGTGGACAAATTATTTGAACTGTGTTTTATCATGAGTAAAAATATAGATAACAGTGCTACCAACGTAAAGGTCTGTTGTGATAAATTAGTACAGGTAAGTCACTTAGAACAATGCCTGGCACATGGTAGGGGCTATATGTGTTAGCTGTTTGTTTACTGATGAGAAAACAGGCTGGAGGAGTTAGGTAGATCTGTTCATTGCAGCAGCTCTGATAAGTGGAGGAGGATATGAAATGGGAGTTACATTCAAATTAAAATAGGTAATTTTGTACAAAATTAGACAGTTTCATACAAATTGTAGAACAGAAAAATTAATAGAAGCCGGAGATATAAAAAAGATTCTATGAGAAGAAATCTTAAAATTAAGAAAATTCGATAGTATTTTTAGGAGTTGAGGAGAGGCCGCCATTATTAAATTTTTACAGAATAGCTCTAATTTGCTGATTACCATTATGCTAGGAGTTTGAGAATCACTGACCTAGTAAGTTGAGTCCCTTTCTTGGCAAAAATGTCGGGGTGATTATTTCTAATAAAATAATTGAGCAATATGAAGAGTTGTGCTTTTTGAAACTTAGAAGTGCCTGAGCATACAAGATGATGTTAACTGGAAAATGTTTTTCCTCGCATAAAGATGAGATTTCCAATAGTCATTCAAAAACTCTAAAGAGGTGTCAGACTCTGTCTCCAGAGACATCCTGTGAGTACCTTACTTATCTCATATTAGTGTCAATAAAATTTTTAGGAAACAGAACCCCGACCCCAAGTGTTGTGAACATCTATGAGAAGATAATTATTATATCCATTTACAAAAGCTTAAAATCCTGTTGGGGAGACCATGTAGACCTGCCTAAAACAACCATCTTCCTTGCAGTCTGATGGAAAGCACCCTCGACTTGGAATCAGGAAATCTGATTTTACTACCTATACTCATACCACTTTGGATAAATCACTCAAACCTTGAGCATCAGTTTACTTCGGTAATGTGGGGATAATAGTATCTACATCACAGGGTTATTTGTGTTACATGAAATTACGTATATGGTAATACTTGGGGCCTGTGAATAATTTCAGTCAGATATCTGGAAACTGATTTTTTTAACTTGAAGTTCTCTTATATAATTTGGTAAAGATTTTTATTTTTGTTTCTTTTGTGCTTAAACCCTGACTGATGTTCCATAAGCATAGCACCCTCTGCTAGAGTTTTTAATACAATTTTCCTGTAATAAGTTAATATTCAGGTATTATTTAGTGACACTAAAAGTATACCTGTGCTTGTTGACTTGGACAAACTAACAGCCTCTTTTCACATGTGAATATAATCATAAATATATAAGATGACATGTTAAAGACAAGATGATAATGTTTTGTATTGGAATGTAGTTCATATTTCCTTAACTTTTCTACATATATTTGTAAAGATCCAAAAATAAATGATGCTACACAAGAACCAGTTAACTGTACAAACTACACAGCTCATGGTAAGACTTGCAGAAACATGTTTTTTTAAATAATTTTTAAAACATTATTTCATAGATGAATGTGTGATCGCTAACAGTAATTAATAAATGTGTTTTTTCTTGATTTACAACATTATTATTCAGTTTCCAGAACAACTTAATATTGGAGAACTGGCTAGGGGTTGTTAATGTTCAATTTAAAAAATAATCTTATTCTATTAATTATATAAACTGAGTTTTTTATTTTCATTCATTTTTTAAAAAAACCTTTAGAATAATTATAGCTTTCTTGTTGCCCTTTATTTATCAAGTTATGTTTTACAAAGATGCTTCTTTAGACTTTTAATTACTCAAAGAGAACTTGAAATGAGACTTTTAGTCCAATAAGGTACAGTGAGGAGCTATATCACCCATATCATGCACTTGTAAAATATACTTAGGTACATCCTAAGTGTGAAAAGAATACGGTAAGGATTTGAAGTGTGCATCAGTTTTTTCTTAGACGTTTTGGTAATGGATAACACCCTCAACCTAATGATTTGGGGGAGCTTCTGTTATTCAAAAAAATACGTAATGCTAGATAAAAATTAATAAGTTGTTTAGCTTTCTAAAGGGTTATATGTTGGAAAGGAGGCAGATAGATGTATGTTGGAGCTATTTGGATTTGGCATTCTTATTTGACATGGTACATAATGATGGTCAATACCTAGTATTATTTTGAGAAAAGAACACCTATTGAATATGTACTGATTGTTTTATTGTTTAGACAGGAAATAAGGCAATAATTGATGTTTTCTTTATAAATGAAAGCTACTAAACAGATTCATTTTGGAAATCAGATTAAAGGGATTCTTTTTAACTGCAAAAAACTTTCAGTTTTTCAAAATTATCTTATAGTCAAAGAACTGACCTCTTGATTATGAATTTGTATATATTTTTAAAAGATCTCCCTTCTCTTTTTTTATCCCTTTATATTTTGACACACTGTTGGCCCCATTCTAGTCAGCAGAGATATTTGAAAGTAAATTGTGTTAAACTTTTAAAACAGACGTTTTGCTACTATTCTGGAGTAATGAAATTTTATCATATAAACAGTAATAGGTTATATATATGATTTTTATAGTAAATATTGCTCAATATGTGTACATTTATTTAATTTAGATGTGTTAGACTTAAAGGAACTTTGCACGGAATCCCCTCCTTTTTAAATTGCTTTATAAGTATATTCTGATTTGCCTGTGTTACAGTTCAGTCTTTTATATTGTGCTCTCAGAATACAGAGAATAGTGTTAACACACATAAAGAACAATGAGCTTTCAGATATTCAACCACGTATATGAAATATGTTGGAAATCTGTGAGTACTATTGTGACTGAGGTCACTTTAAACTAGGAATCAGGCAGCCAGCCATCTCAAAAAAGCCTTTTCTAGTCTGCAGAATTCTTTGTACGTATGAGGATTTTGAAGGAAATTATACAACTAAAAAGAATAGTTTCTGACCAAAAAGAGCTCTGCCCTCCAGTTAGGTGTCTCTTTTGTAAAGTAAGTTTGAATCCACTTAAGTAATTATTGCTAAATAAGTTTATAAACAACTACAAAATCAAATGATCAGACTGCTACGAAGTATAAAAGGACTTGGAGGTGTTATGGTCACGTTGTGACCTGTCAGGTAAGTTATCATAGATGATGTAAGTGGAGAGCTGCAGAAAAATAAAAGGAAGCCTTTCTATATACAGGAATGGTATGGTTATCATTTGGAGAGAATAAACAATAAGTGCCTAACAATCTGGAAACACATATGAAATGTTATAAATTAATAAATAAATGACTTTAGATTATTATTATGACTCTAAAAAGAAAATAAAGTTTCTGAGACAAATATGAGTTACAGGGCTTCTGCATGTGGATTATAATTTATGCATGACCCAGAAGTGTTCAGCCAAGATCTGGGATAGGTTCTACCAGCCCAGCCCTCATGAGGCTATGTCTGTCCACAGGATGCTTTTTTAAATTGTCCTCTTTAGAACACGCAAGACTAGTGGAGTGGCTGTGGTGAGTCACTTCTGAGTGCTGATCAGAGTGGACATCAAAATGACCCTTGAAACATGCTTTTTGGTCCTGACGTAGGAATATATTAGAGTTGTGAAAAGTGTGATCTCTCTCGTTTCTCGAGCCAAAATTTTTCCTCTGTTTTTTTGAGTATATGAAGGACTATTGCAGGATCCTCAGACTAAGTTTAATTTTCTTAAACTGTACTTTTTAGTAAGCAATGAGTGGGTGGAATGTTTTACAGAGAGGGGAGTTTGGAGGTAGAGAGTAAGAATTGGGACCAAAGGCAAAGGAGATTCAACTATGACAATAAACTGTGTGGTCTTAAAATGGTTACCGGTTAGCCCAACCAGTTAACATGCATCTTTATTTATTGAGAAATTATTTGTAATAGTTTAATAATTAAAATAAGTAAATGGATCAAAAGAACTAACTGAACATTTGTATTATAAACTATTATTGAGAAATTTATTTATTGAGAAGTTATTATATGGCAGGCTTCTGCTAAATGGTATAGATGATACATAAAAGAAGACAATCTCTGCCCTCAAGGAGTGTTCTGTCTTGAACATATATATACATAAAGACATATATAAGAAAGTGTTTCTAATTTTCTGAGTAGTGAAATACAAAAGCATTTAAACTCCATTTCCAGAAATTTTGCTCTGGTCCTTTGGCAGAAGGTCTTTTTTATTAAGATGTTATTGAAATATATATACAGAAAAGTACACTTAAATATGACTCAAACTTTCACAAACTGAACACACCTGTGAATGCTTCCAGATTAAGAAACAACCTTATCAACATGCTAGGACTCTGTCCCGTGCTCTCTTATAGCCACTACCCTGCCTTAATGATAATTATTATCCTAACTTCTAATAGCATAAATTAGTTATGCAAAGGGTGTGTTATTTTTAAACTTTTTATTTGGAGATAATTTCAAGCTTACAGAAAAATTGCAAGAATAGTACAAAGAACACCCATACACCCTCTCCCCAGATTCGCCCATTGTTAAACATTATCATTCTGGCTTTATCATTGTGCACTCATGCATGCTCTCTGTCTCTCTCTGAATTTGTGTATATATGTTTTGTCCCTAAATATGTTTGTGTGTGTTTTCTAAGAATAGAGATATTCTCCTGACATAACCACAGTTCAGTTGTAAAACGAGTAAATTCAGTGTTAATGCACATACTTTACCATCCACGTTCTGATTTTTGTCAAATGACCCAAGTAAAGCCTTTATAGCATTTTCCCCCAGTACAGGATCCCAGTATCAGGTTTTGCCTTTAGTTTTCCCTAACTTGGAATATTTCCACAGCTTTGTCTTTCATGATACTGACAAGTTTGAAGACTACAGTCCCCTTTATTTATTTATTTATTTATTTATTTTTGTGGTACGCGGGCCTCTCACTGTTGTGGCCTCTCCCATTGCGGAGCACAGGCTCCGGACGCGCAGGCTCAGCGGCCATGGCTCACGGGCCCAGCCGCTCCGGGGCACAAACCCGTGTCCCCTGCATCGGCAGGCGGACTCTCAACCACTGCACCACCAGGGAAGCCCAGTCTCCTTTATTTTAATAGAATGTTCCTCATTTGGGATTGTCTTATGTTTCCTTACAACTAGATTTAGGTTCTGCATCCCAGGATGGAAAATTACATAAGTGATGGCGTGTCCTCTGCATCTCACAGCTGAGGGACATGATATCCATCTGCCTCTCACTGATGATGTTAAGTGTTGATTATTCAGTCTTTTCAGTTAAATATTTTTTCCTTTGCAACTAATAAACAGTCTTTGGGGAGACTCATTTAGACCATGCAAATATCCTATCTCTCATCAAAAATTTCCCCTAGGGCTTCCCTGGTGGTGCAGCTGTTGAGAGTCCGCCTGCCGTGTCAGGGGACGCGGGTTCGTGCCCCGGTCTGGGAAGATCCCACATGCTGCGGAGCGGCTGGGCCCGTGAGCCATGGCCACTGAGCCTGCGCGTCTGGAGCCTGTGCTCCGCAACGGGAGAGGCCACAACAGTGAGAGGCCCGCGTACCAAAAAAAAAAAAAAAATTTCCCCTAGACTTAGCATCCATGATGATTCTAGCCCGAATCATTCTTTTTTTTTTTTTTTTTTTTTTTTTGGCTGCACCGCAAGGCATGCAGGATCTTAGTTCCCTGACCAGGAGTTGAACCCATGCCCCCTGCAGTGGAAGCACGGAGTTTTAACCACTGGACCGCCAAGGAAGTCCTCTGAATGAATCATTCTTCACTGTGATAGTTGCAAAATGATGATTTTCCAACTCCAGCACTTCCAGAGGAGAGGTGTCTTTTAACACTAGAAATATGAAGATAGGGTTGGCTCTTACCAACTTTATCTTTTGCTTTCACCCAAATTCTAGATTGACACATTTAATTATCCAGTGATTTTGCAGTATAACCTGTTACAGAAATCATAAATAAAAGAGTCTGACCCTCTTATATGACAGATGAGATCAGAGTGCAGCGGCGTGATGTTAACTGGAGTAGGGTCCCAAACCACGTCCTCTCTAGGTCAGTCCATTTTACTGTGATGAAACTTCATTGATTATTTTATTTCTAGTTTAGCTTTTTCGTATTTAAAAAACGGTGCTGCTTTTTATAATTGAGAAATAACAGTGTACCACGCTTAAATTGATGCCATCTAAATCCTAGACATTAGCCAGAGCCAAACATTTTGCAAGAAAACTGCAAATGGAATAGTTTTCAAGCTTCTGGCATGTTGCTTAATTTTGTCAACTAGTTAACATTTATTGGTAACTGGCTTCCTTAATCATCATATTGATTTATTTTTGCTTGTTCCTGATATCAGTGTAAGCATGGCATTATCATGGTGTAATGAAAAGAGTACTGATTTAAAGTGATGAGTTAGTCCAGGACTTGTAGAATATTACCTATTTATGACACTTTGGTGAGCTCATTTAATTTCTTGGAACCTCAGTTTTTCTGT